CCTGTGTGGCTCAGTTGTTAAGCGTCTGCCTTCGGCTCAGGTCATGATCCCAGGGTCCTGGGATCGAGCCCCACATCGGGCTCCCTGCTCTGCGGGAAGCCTGCTTCTCCCTCTCCCACTCCCCCTGCTTGTGTTCTCTCTCACTGTGTCTCTCTCTGTCAAATAAATAAAATCTTAAAAAAAAAAAAAAAAAGCCCCCTGGGATGCCTGTGTGGCTCAGTCAGATGAGCATCTGCCTTTGGCTCAGGTCGCTATCCCAGGGTTCTGGGATGGAGTCCCACATCGGGCTCCTTGCTCAGCGGGGAGCTGACTCTCCCTCTACCTGCCACTTCCCCTGCTTGTGTTGTCTCTCTGACAAAAATAAATAAATAAAATCTGGAAGAAAAAAAAAAGACCCTTCTGAGATATAGGACTTGCCAATATTTCCTTCCATTTTGTAGGTTGATTTTTCACTTTCTTGATAATTCCAAACTGTTTACCAAAGTGGTTTTGTCAATTGAGATTCTAACTGGCCGTACATGAATTTCAATGGTCCACAATCTCGCTAATACTTGGAATTTTTTAGACTTCGAAATTTTTTTTAAGGATTTTATTTTTTACTTTGAGAGAGAGAGAGAGAGAGAGTGGGGGGAGGGGCTTAGGGAAAGAGAGAATCTCAAGCAGACTCCCTGCTGAGTGCAGAGCCCCATGTGGGGCTCCATCCCACAACCGTGAGATCATCACCTGATCTGAAATCAGGAATCAGAAGCTCAACCAGCTGAACCACACAGGAGCCCCAGACTTTGAGATTTTTACTGTGGCTTTCCTTGCATTTCTCTGATTGGTCCTGAGGCTGAGCACCTTTGTGTGTGTTTCTTGGCTGTTTGGATTTCTCTGGAGAAGAGAATCTTCAAGTATTTGTCGCATGTACTACTGAGTTATTGGGCTTTTACTCACTGATTTCTGGTAATAAGACACTAGACTTGGGGGCGCCTGGGTGGCTCAATCGTTAAGTGTCTGCCTTCAGCTCAGGTCATGATCCCAGTGTCCTGGGATCGAGCTCCTCATTGGGCTCCCTGCTCAGCGGGAAGCCTGCTTCTCCCTCTCCCACTCCCCCTTCTTGTGTTCCCTCTCTCGCTGTCTCTCTCTCCAATAAATAAATAAAATCTTAAAAAAAAAAAGACCCTAGACTTGTATAGGTTTTGGGTGCTAGAAACACTCTTTCCCATTCTGTGATTGTCTTTTTTTTCTTTCTTATGGTTTGTGTGTGTTTTTGAGTAGATTTTATTTTTTTAGAGAAGTTTCAGGTTCACAGCAAAATTAAGCAGAAAGTACGGAGTTCCCATATACCCTTGCCCCCAAACATGCACAGCCTCAATCACTATGAACATCCCACACTAGATCATATGCTACATTTGTTACAATCAATGAAGCTACATTAACAATATTATTTGCCAATGTCCATAGTGTTCCCTAGTGTTCACTCTGTGTTGTACATTCTGGATTTGACAAATGTATAATGACAGCTATCTGCAATTGTAGTATCATACAGAATAGTTTTGCTACCTTAAAAATCTGCCCACACCTCTCCTACTCCAACCCCTAACAATCCCTGATTTTTCTTTTACTGTCCCCCTAGCTTTGCCTTTTCCAGAATGTCATGTAGCCTTTTCAGATAGGCTTCTTTCATTTAGTAATATGCATTTAATTTTCCTCCATGTCTTTTTTGTGCTTGATAGCTTATATTTGTAATTACTGAATAATAGCCCATTGTAGGGATGCACCAGAGATTGTTTATCCATGCACCTGCTGAAGGACGTCTTGGTTGCTTCCAAGTTTGGCAGTTGTGAATAAAGCTGCTATAAATATATATGTGCAGATTTTTTTGTACTTACGTTTTCACCTCATTTGAATAAGCACCATGGAGCATGATTGCTGGATCATACGTTTAGTTTTCTAAGAAACTGCCAAACTGTCTTCCAGAGTGGCTGCACCATTTTGCATTCTCACCAGTAGTGAATGAGAGTTCCTGTTGCTCCTCACGCTTGTTAGCATTTGGTGTTATCAGTGTTTGAATTTTGGCTCGTCTGATATCTTCATTGTGTTTTTTTATGATGTTCTTAATTTTAATGGAGTTCACTTTGTCAATCTTTTCATTTATAATTAGTGTTTATTGTGCCTAAAGAAATTCTTCCTCACAGAAAGCTGTGAATATGTTTTCCCATCTTCTAAAAGCTTTCTAGATTTGCCTTTCATATTTCAGTCTCTCATCTGCCTGAAACTTCTTTCATTCTTTCTTTTTTAAAGATTTTACTTATTCATTTTATTTTAGAGAGAGAGAGAGCACTTGCGTGCATGAGCCGGGGAAGTGGCAAAGGGAGAGTGAATCTCAAGCCAACTTCACCCTGAGCGCAGAGCCCGATGTGATCCCACACCCCTGAGATCAGGACCTGAGCTGAAACCAAGAGTTGGACGCTTAACTGACTAAGCCACCAAGCACCCTGAAATTTATTTCTATGTACATCTAGATCACTTTATTGTGACCTTGACAATGTTAAGTCTTCCAAACCATGAACATGGGATTTCCCCCATTTATTTAAATCTTCTTTAATTTCTTTCAACAATGATTTGTAATTTTCAGAGTATAAGAAATCAAAAGAGAAATCAGAAAATACTTTAAGATGAATGAAAATGAGGCACACATATAAAAACTTATAAAATACAGTGAAAGTGTTTAGAGGGAAATGAAAAAAGGCTTATAAAAATTAATAAAGGGGGGCACCTGGGGTGGTTCAGTCTGTTAAGGGTTTCAGCTCAGGTCATGATCTCAAGACCCGTATTGGGGTGGGGGGGTTGGGGGGCTCAGTGGGGAATCTGCTTCTTTCCTCTCTCTCCCTCTGCCCCTCCGCCCCCGCTCGTGCTGCTCTCTCTCAAATAAATAAATAAATCTTTAAAAAAATTCATAAAGGGAAACCTCACTAAAGTGAGGTCAGGAGGTTAGAGAGGGGGAGCCCATCGCTCACCATCAGTTACGGGAGGAATTTTCAGTTGCAGACTCCAACAGAAGTGTCATTTATGGACCTCAACAAAAGAATCATCAACAAGAAAGAATCATCAGTTACAAGCCCCAGTAGGGAAAGATGTACATTGAAGCTCCTATAAGAAATCAGTCACCCCTGCAACTCAGTCAAAAAGAAAGCCTCATCACCCTGTACTCTTGTTTTTTTCTCCAATGGACTTTTTGTTCAAAACAACACCTCCTAACTTCCTTCTCCATCTCCATAAGCTAAAGCTCTTCTCCTTTGTTTGTTGGACTTGCCTAAGGTTTTGCCTTAGCTTGCATACCTCAATTCCAATTCTCTGTTATTCTTTTCTTTTTTAAGTTTTGATTTATTTTTCTGGTAATCTCTACACCTGATGTGGGGCTTGAACTCATGACCTGAGATCAAGAGTCATGGGCTCCATGGACTGAGCCAGCCAGATGTCCCAATTCTGTTACTTTTTTTTTTAAAGATTTTATTTATTTATTTGACAGAGAGAGAGAGCGAGAGAGGGAACACAAGCAGGGGGAGTGGGAGAGGGAGAAGCAGGTTTCCCGCTGAGCAAGGAGCCCGATGAGGGGCTCGATCCCAGGACCCTGAGATCATGACCTGAGCCGAAGGCAGATGCTTAACGACTGAGCCACCCAGGTACCCCTGCTATTCTTGAATAAACCCATTTTTTCTTATAAATTAATGGACTATTGGGTGCCTGGGTGGTTCAGTCAGTTAAACGTCTGCCTTTGGCTCAGGTCAGGATCCTGGGATCCTGGGATCAAGTCCCGCACATCAGCCTCTCCACTCAGTGGGGAGCCTGCTTCTCCCTCTCCCTGTCGTTCCCCCAGCTTGTGTGCTCGCATTCTCTCTGTCAAATAAATCAATAAAAATCTTTAAAAAAAAATAAAAGGCATCCAGATTGGGAAGGAAGAAATAACAATCTCTATGCCCATATGACATAATTTCGTACATAATAAATCATAAGGAATCCACTAAAAAACTACTGGAACTAATAAATGAATTCAGCAAAGCTGCAGGATACAAGATTAACACACAAAACTCAATTGTATTTTTTTTAAAGATTTTATTTATTTATTTGAGAGAGAGAGAGAGAGAGAGCCCAAGAGGGGGTAGGGTCAGAGGGAGAAGCAGACTCCCTGCCGACCAGGGAGCCCGATGTGGGACTCGATCCCGGGACTCCAGGATTATGACCTGAGCCGAAGGCAGTCGCTTAACCAACTGAGCCACCCAGGCGCCCTCAATTGTATTTTTATACACTTTCAATGAACAGTCTAAAATGAAATTAAGGGGGCGCCTGGGTGGCTCAGTCATTAAGCGTCTGCCTTCGGCTCAGGTCTTGATCCCAGTGTCCTGGGATCGAGCCCCGCATCGGGCTCTCTGCTCTGCAGGAAGCCTGCTTCTCTCTCTCCCACTCCCCCTGCTTGTGTTCCCTCTCTCGCTGTGTCTCTCTCTGTCACATAAATAAATAAAATCTTTTCAAAAAATGGAATTAAGAAAACAATACCATTCACAGCTGCATCAAAAAGCATATACGATTTTTCAAAAACTCATTACCTAACATCTAGTAGATCTCCTATTTAGTACAGTAGCCGACCACCATTACTATCCCAACGGTATCGTACTAGGGTACCTGTTTCTTAATCCCGCCCACCCCTTCCCTCCCCCTCCCTCCACCCGCCCTCCCCTTCTCTGTTGCCCCACCCTCTCCCTCCGCCCTGCCCACCCATTTCCTCCCGGCACCGCCCACCCCTTCCCTCCTCCCCGCCCTCCCCTTCTCTCGCCCCTCCCTCTCCCTCCGCCCCTCCCACTCCTTCTCTCGCCCCTCCCTCTCCCTCCGCCCCGCCCTCCCCTTCTCTCGCCCCTCCCTCTCCCTCCGCCCCTCCCACTCCTTCTCTCGCCCCTCCCTCTCCCTCCGCTCCGCCCTTTCTCCCTCGGGGCTCAGTCGCTCGCGCTCTTTCTGCGCTCAGCCAGCGGCCCTCGGGCCGAGGGTCATGGGCGGCCTCTTGGGGCGCGCGGCGCTCCCGGGGCTGCTGAGCGGCCCGCGGGCCCCGAGCCCGAGCCTGCTCGCACGCCCCAGCTCGGGTGAGTGGCCCGCGACCGGCGGAGGAGGGAGGCGGGCGGGGGCGCGTAGCCCGGCCTTTGTTGGCGCGCGTGCGACCCCGTGGCTGCCTGACTCTGTAGATGGCCTCGGGTTCTCGCCGGGCGGGCCGGGTGAGCCCTGCACGTCTTTCCCCACCTCTCACTGCCCCCAACTCCGATCCGCCCACCGTCCCAGGTTGCTCGGGGGCAGGGGGCCCCTGAGGGCTCCAGAGCAGGAGGCCTGGTGGCCACAGTAGACAGTAGTGAGGGTCCCAGCGGACTGGGGCTTCTGGGGGGGGGGGAACATTTGGAGCAGGTGAACACTCCCCACGGGGCCGGCGCCCTCGGGGTGTTTTCTCCAGGCCCTAACTCCGTTTGGGGTCCTAGGGCCCGTATCTGTAGCCGTTTCTCGCCCTAACTGCGGCCCACAGGGCGCTCCCTGAGAGCCAGATGTCTTGGTGTTCCCAGCGCAGGAGGGAGTTAACTTCTCTTGAGATCCCCTAAGCACTGGGCTTTAGGGGCAAAAACCAGCCCCCGGGGGCTTCGTGCGCTGGGCTTCGTTCAGCCCTGAAGTGAAGTGGTGGGCGCCCACAGCCTGCTGTCCAGGTCCAGTGCACCTTATGGGGTTGGGAAAGGGCAGCTGCAGACACCCCCGGGGACAGTGGCCTGCCCGGGCTCTATCATTTGTCTTCCAGTTCTGTTCTCCACCTGAGCAGGACTTGGCAGGACATCCAGGGTGTAGGCTCCTCTCAAAAGCACGTTTGGCCCTGAACCCAGGGCTAAGGGTTGGTGTAACTCTGTGGCCTGGGGCTGTAAGGGGAGATGGTACCTCCTGTCTTGCTGGCAGTGTCCCCTAGAGGACAGAAGGACTGGGCCAGGGCTCAGTCCCATACTTGGGTCTGGAAGCCGCTTGCCTTGAAACCCTCGAGCAGCACAGAGCTCATCTGGCCAAGGAGGTTTTAAGTGGAGGAGCCCTCTAGAGTCTCCCCACCTGCAGTCAGGTGCCCCTCTACCCTGCTTCTCAGTCCTTAGCTCTCTTGTGTCCTGCTGTGTGTGGCCCACCTGGTGGGGAGAGTGGACCCCACTACTCCCTGGCTCCCTGCCGTTCCTTCACCTCAGACGCACAAGATGAGCTTTGGGTCCTCCCTCATGGGGCAGGCTGGGAGTTCAGATGGTGAGGACAGAAGTGGAAAGCAAGGCCAACAACATGCTCTCTTTCCAGTGTGGCCTCTTTGGGCCTCTGTGTGGCCACTGAGCCCAGCTGTGCCTCCCCAGCTCTTGAAGATGCCTTCTCAGGGACACTGGATCCATCATGGGAGGAGCCATGGCCCCTCCTGACAGACTGGATGCACCAGGGGGCCCACTACCCTGTTGGTCCCTGAAAGGCAGAGTCATGCTGGGCCTTTGTTGGCTGTGGACCCTGCACTTCTCCCCTCCACGGCTGCTCTGGTGACCCCTGGGCTGTGGCAGGGGCATCCAGGTTCAGGGAGATGTGAAGGGCGAGGCACCTGATTCCCCTTCTTCTAAAGGAGGGTCCTCCTGGACCCGGGAGCGGACCCTGGTTGCAGTGAAGCCAGATGGGGTGCAGCGGCGGCTTGTTGGGGATGTGATCCAGCGCTTTGAAAGGAGGGGCTTCAAGCTGGTGGGGATGAAGATGCTGCAGGTACCTGGGCTCTCGACCTGTGGGTGTCCTTGAGGGGACTGGGGGTGGGGGGCTTCTCATGGACCTCAGCCCTTCATATCTCAGCCCTGTATCAGGAGGAGTATCCTGGTATTGGAAGTAGAAGGAGGGGTGGGGAGGTATCTGCTGGTGTGCCAGCCCATGTAGGTGTTATTTGCCAAGTGCCCTGAGGTCAGGACACCATGATCACTGCCCCAGTGCCCAGCGGCTCCAGGGGCTCCTCTCACCCCTTGCCCCAATGCCACCCAGGCGCCAGAGAGAGTCCTTGCTGAGCACTACCATGACCTGCAGAGGAAGCCCTTCTACCCAGCCCTCATCAGCTACATGACCTCCGGCCCCGTGGTGGCCATGGTATGGCAGGCAGGGGCGGTGGAAAGGGTGGAGGGCCCTGGGCTGAGCCCAGAGCTGCTGAGTCCTTGGTGATCCCCACCTCTCCCATCCTCTTTTATCTCTGTGCTGCAGGTCTGGGAAGGCCCCAACGTGGTCTGCTCCTCAAGGGCCATGGTAGGACACACCAACTCAGCTGAGGCTGCCCCTGGCACCATCAGGGGGGACTTCAGTGTCCACATCAGCAGGTCTGGGGGCCCTGACACACTGAAGCCACTGGAACTGATGGGCCAGCTCATTAGGGTTGAGGAGGGCCTGAGTGTGGGGTGGTAGTCTGCTCCTAAGGCAGATCCACAGGACCTGGGCATCTTGCTGGGCCACAGTAAAGCCACAAGAGATTGTCCATGCTGGGATGTCACACACAGGAGGTGATAAAGCATTCTCTAATCATTGTGTGTGTACTCTGCCATCATTTCCTATTACCTGACTCTGTCTTGCCAGACACCCTGAGGGGTTGGCATGGGACAACTGGTGGGAACATGAGGCTCCGAGAAACGGTCTGGGCAGGTCATGAGGTTGTGGGTAAGAGGCCAAGATCAGGCTGGAACCAGTCTTCCAGTCCTGTTCTTGCTTTCTCTTCTGCCCAATGCCGGGCTTGCTCTTCTTGATGGTGGGGGATTAGCAGATAGATCCCGGGACCCCCAAGGTGCACACTGAAGTCTGTGCCTTACCTTTGCTGCCTATCATTTGGCACAGGAACATCATCCATGCCAGCGACTCCGTGGAGGGGGCCCAGAGGGAGATCCAGCTATGGTTTCAGAGCAGTGAGCTGGTGGACTGGGCAGACGAAGGCCACCAGAGAAGCATCTACCCACCCTGAGCACTCAGGCTGCCTTCAGCTACCCCAGCAGCCACCCAGGATCAACTACCTCTGTCGTCCAGAACTTGAGCCCACACCCATGGTCCTCCCTTCTGTCCCAGACCACCTCCCTGTCTACCTTCTGCCCCACCCCAGCCCAGAGGGGTTGAGCAACCAACTTTATGTGCCTTTTAGTATCCTAAGCCAATAAGAAATCGGACCAAATCCTTTCTGTACCAAAGTGCCAGATAACCTTTGGGGCATCTCCAAAAGTGTGTAGTGTAACCTCCCTTCCCCCAAAGGGGGGTGGGACATTAAAATTCGCTGTGTTGTGTAGGGGGGTGGATCGTTTATTATAGTTTCTGCCATCTCTGAGGTAGGACTTTATGCAAAGTTGTAAGAGTTTGAGAGTACAAATAAAGCTTACTCTCACACACCAGTAGGGGATCAATAACTTTGTTGAATGTATCAGACAGGCAGAGGTCCAAAGACCTACAGCCCAAAATGTGGGAGAATCCAAGCTGAGTCCCGGAGCTGGTGCTGCTTTAGCCCCAATTCATCTGATCATGCTGCATGAGGAGCTGCCTGCCTTGGGCAGGACTATGAGAATGGCAAAAGGGGGTGATTATGGGGCCCACTAAAACCACCCCCAGGGCAGAAGGCCTTTCATGGCTTCATATGGTGGAGACTGACAGGAGCTGCCTGTGTCCACTTGTTTTCATGTTGGCACTATACACATCACACCTCACCCCAGTCCTCCGGTGTGTCCCTGGTCCCTTGTCATGGGTACTGGACATTGCATATCATTACACCTGCTGCAGCCGCCTTGGTCCTCACTTACTCTACTTTTTGACATCTTTAAGCTTA